GGTGTTAGGCTTAGGCCATAGGGCAAAGAGGAATAAGCCAAATGACTCGTTTGCTCTCAGGGAGCTCAGGCTGGTGGGGGAGATGGTGCTTCCCCTGAGTGTCATGGGAACAGAGGAGCAGGAATACCTAAACCTGGATAGTGGCAGAAAAGAGCTCACGAAGGAGGTGACATCTGAGAGTCTCGCCAGTGTCAGAACACTTCTTGCTCAAGCAGATGAGGAAGAAGAATGTTACCAGCAGCAGTAGCAGTTTGTACAAAAGCAGTCTCACACTTGGCTGCAAGGGAGCATTAGATTTCAAGTACTGAAGATGCTAAGCACCTGGACTGCATCCTTTGGGTGTGGTGGAGCAGTGAGGCAGGATTCTAGACAGAGAAAGCACATGAACAGATTGACCTGCAAAAGGTCGCTCTTGGAGGATGTGAAAGAGACACTAGAAGAAGAAGCGTCTGGCCAGGTGGTCAGTGGCCCCTCGTGGTTGGAGGGGGTGGTATTTGAAGAGAGGCTTGAATTATGTCCTAGAGGATATAGGAAACAGAAAATCAAGATGTGTTAAGGAAGTAGCATGTGTAGGACATAGTGAGGGGGTGGTGTTGGGAGTTGTCATTATGTGATGGTCTGTTGTACCCAGAGATCAGAACATGATTGTTTGGTTAGACTAAATGAATCTCAGAAGGCTGTTTCTCAGATTGGGATCCCAGTATCTCCTCGAGGCTCTCCTGCTCATTTCTGGGTTGACTTACACTACTCTAGACGTATTTTAAATTCTAAACAAAGTATGGTTGCAGCACTACTCACATTGACCTGCAAGCCCAGCAAATGATTCTTTTTTTAAAAAACTCTCTCTTCCCATTTGCCACCCACCACCCCTGATATCCTTTTCCAGACCATGTTCTGCCCAGTCTCTCCCCAGCTAGTCATGAAATTGGTTGACTCTCGTCCCTCACTTCTGCCTCTTACAGCTTTCTTGCCTTCTGATGAAATAAAATAAGTAGCCTCCTAGTTGATGAATCATTTTATCAATCCTTGTGTCAGAAATTTAGCAAGAGAACATCCTCTGCTATTTGAGATAACCTACAGGTCCACACATTACCAGATCCTCTATATACTAGAGACTGTGTATTGAGTGTTTTAGAAAGCTAAAAAAAAAAACAAACAACAACAAAAAAACCCACAGTGCCTGCCCTCTGGGAACTCAGCAGCTGGAAAGACCTATGTAGAGAGAATCTGATAGAAATAAAACATTAGAGGCAACATCTGCCTTAAATTGTCTGTATCAGGATTTGGTTTGAGGTACTGCTGTGGAGTTATGGCCAGGTTAATAGTCTTGAGAACTAAAACTATCACACTTTATTCTTTGAAGATTCAAGATAGAAGGTTATGGTTGAAAGCCTGGGTTCCGGGGTCTGACTTCCTTGCTCTGCTATTTAATATCTGTGTGACCTGGCCAAATTAGTTCATCTGTGAGCTTCCCTTCATCACTCTAAGATGAAGATCACAATAGTCTCTGTGCTAAGATTGCTAAGAGGACATTTACGAGACACACATCTCAGACCTCCTCATACAACACCAGTGCACAATAAATACCTGTTGTTGATCATGCCTGAGGCCAAAAGGAAGTGTCCCCAGGCCCAGTTGAGAAAGATGAGCTGAGTGCTGAGAACTGTTGGTTTCCTTCCACTTGAGAGCTATTATGGCTAATACTGTGATCCTTCATCGTCCTTTAGAGTAATTATAAAGAAAAGTATGGAACAAGCTTTCTTCAGGACAAGTTATTCTTTTGAGTTTCTAGTTAGCCCTTTGGTCACCTCACACATGGTCCGTTATCACCTAGAGCACTTCCAGAAACAAGTTTAAAGGCTGGCAGGTGGCAGGTAGGACTGCAGGGGAGATTGGGCATCACTGGCTCTCTGAAATCTTCCCCCAGCCCAGTACCCATCACATTCCTTCCCCTGTGAGTTCTCCCATGAGTTGAACACCACTCTTTTTCCCCATTTGTATTGGGATGAACAGACAGTTCTTATCCCCATGAGACTTATAATTGTGTGGGAATATCTGAACAGATTCAGTCCACTGTGAACAGTGCAGATGGAATYGTACGGACAGAAAAGGTACCTAGGAAGCATAGTAATGATGGCTTCGCGGAGGTGGGGACATCTCAGTAAGATTTTGAAGGGAACAAGGACACAGAGAGTCAGGAGGTCTGTGTAGTTTGTGTGGGAGAACTGGACCTATGGAGTGTGGGCGGGGAGCACAGGAGGAGATGACGTTTAAAACAGAGGACAGAGTTAGACCATCCAAGAGCTCGACTGTATCATGGGGCCACTGGGGGCCATTGAGCGACTTCCGGCAATAAAATACCTACCACAAGGTGCGTTTTTAGCAAGATCACWCTGGTGGAAGATGAGCTTGAAAAGGGTGTTGGAAAGGCAGCAGATTCATATCACCACTGCAGATTCATTGAGGGCAGGGACAGAGTCCAATTTATCTCTGGATCCCTAATGTTTAGTACATTGTAGACACTCAAGAAATGCTTTAGACAGACCCAGTTGAATTTTCCAGCTCGGCATCCCATCCTCAGAACATGCTGACCTGGACCTCCATCTGTCACAGGCAGCTTGACTAAGATCATAATAAATTCTTGTTTCTTGGCATTCTTTTAACTGGCACTCTGTTTACTAGCCCCTCTGTGCACCTGCAGCGTGGCAATGATTGATGCTTATAATTCTGACCCTGAAGTACTTCAAGCCTTCTAAATCATCAAAAAAAAGATTAAAGTATATTCAGTATTGCTCGAATGTTTGTGTGTTTTACTGCTTTCTTTTTCTTTGGAAATTGATGGTTTATCAAGTGCTGGGCCCTTGCATGTACTTGGGCACAGTGAGAGTCTGTGATCACATACGACTCGCAACTCCCTCCTGGTGCCAGGCATGGGCAGTTTGTTTTGCATGCTCAAAAACAGACAGAGTGACCTGGGCTCTCTTCATGCTTGGAAGGAGGACACAGCGAAGCCCCAAAGGGACAAATTGAGAGAGTGGCGGTCAGACAAGCTCTGGGAGTGAGAAAGCCAGTGTGGTGCAGGCAGGGAGTCCCAGAGTCACAAGCACTGCAAAGCTCAGAGCCAAGACTTCAGCTTCAGGATCGCGGACCCCAGGCACCAGGCTGGGGTTGGACAGGATTCTCCACAGCTCTGTTTGTTTTGCAATGACAACCACTTGGTGAAACAGCAAACATTAGTAAGTGAAAACATCAATAATGAGAGCACCCTGCTCCCCAGCACACCTCTCCTTGAAAACCTTGATTACTGCAGAACTGCCAACATTATTAGGCCCAGAAGGAAGAACTTGGAATAGAAGCTGTGTGAGAGGGCTCCCTCCATTTGTAACCTGGGTTCCTAAAAGGAGGGGTGTGATGTCATAGTGGGGAGGTTTGTGTGGGTTTCCTTTGGGGGGGTATATTGCAGCAAGTAGAGGCTTCTCTTAGTTTGTCATGCAACTAAGTGTGTGTCATCAGGGCTGGGGTTGTGACTGAGTAGTAGAGCACTTAGCTAGCAAGTGTGAGGCCCTCGGTTCGATCCTCAGCACCACATAAAACTAAATAAATAAAATAAAGGTATTATGTCCATCTGTAACTAAAAAAAATTTTTAAAAGATTTTTTAAAAATCTGCATGTGATYAGTCAGCACTCATCATCTCAGCACAGAGAGCCAGTCCCCAGACCTCAGGGATTCTGCTTGTCACCTAGTCTAGGGCACATGTGGGCTTCAGAGCTTGCCAACTGGGCAAGTCTTGTAGTCTCTCTAGGTCTTTATTTTCTTTGTCTGAAAAATTGGAATATTGGGATAATACTAACTCCTTTACAGATTAGAATAAAATAAAATAATGGATATGAAAATTGCTTCACTGGAAAGCCTTATCTATTTAAGTAATAGATATAATTATTATTGTATGATATATGTCTATTATATGCATTACAGTATTACATATAAGTGTTCAGTTTACTAAAGAACACCATAAATACTGTAATAAAACATAGAAATATATTTCATTGCAAGCACAATATCTTCACAAATTTTCCCAAAGTAGAATGGGGAAATGAACAATTTATTGAGTCTCCATGACAGATTAGCTGTTCTAGCTAGTATACTATCTACTCCTCAAGGTAGATATCAAATTCCTGATTCAGAGATGAGGAAACTGAGGTTCCTAATAACGTGGATATCCAGAGCAGAAGTGGGCTGAGTACCTGATTGCTGATGGGCTCTTTCTCCTCTACCATGTTCTCTAGTCGTTTACCTACTTCCAGACCCCAAAGTTCCTAAAGCTGTTCATGTCCTTTGGGGCTGGGATGTTTGCTACCTGTTTCTGGGTCCTTCACTCCTGAAAGAGGTTCAGGGTGGGTTCACAGGGAACTTCCATGGGCCCCTGCAAAGCCGAGCAGCATGGGGGAGTCAACCATGTGGTACACTGCCAGTCAGAGCCCGAGTCAGGGAGCTGGCCAGGCCTGCATTGAAAGTTGGGAGGCCACTGTGCCCCTTTCCCAGCGCTGGAGGAAATGTAGTTCTCAGAAGTTCATTCTTTCTCTGTGGGTAAATAAACACCCGTCAGTCTCCTGGGTCCCACCTGGGCCTTTCCAGTTCACATCTCACCCAGGTGGTTTGCTGTCTGACAGGCTCCATGTTCTGTTTGCAGAAGTGGGTGGGTTAGTCACAAAGTAATCCACTCTACCAAGCCTCTCTGGGACTCTTCTATTAACTTTAACAACAGGAATTGGGGCAAAGGGTCCCCAGTGGGCCCACACTGTGTGCATTTTCTTTTTTGTACCATTTTCCTGGTTTGCAGACAGACAGCTTGTGAACCGGAGCTGCCCACATAGAGAACCACAGCTAATGCCCATGGAAGGGCCCAGCTGAATATTCAGGGAGGATGTCAATGTGAAGGAGAAGCGCTGGTTCAGCTGGCTCTGGTTCTGAAAGGAGCTCCTGTGTGGCTTTTCCGTAGGTTCTCAACAGGAGGTGTGTGGAAGCTGCAGTGATGACAGGCCTGGCTCTGAACTGCCACATAAACAAGAAGTCCTCCTTTGACAGGAAGCACTACTTCTATGCAGACCTCCCAGTAAGTATGCTTTGTGATCCACCCCCTGGAAGTTCTCAGAGCTGGGCCAGCCCTGCCTTGCGGGGTTTGAAGCCAGGGAGAGAAGGCTACGTGCTCATGTTTTCAATCAGCGCCCTGTCCATCCCAGCGGGGAGCTCTGGCTGGCCCTGATGAAGGCAGGTGCCCCCCGATGTTTACTAGATTGGATGCAATTGTCCTGATTGCTGACTCCTTGCTTAGCCTCATGCTTCTGGTGGCTCATTCATAATTGAATGGGGACTAGGAGAAGCCAGTGTTGTCAGGCACAGCCCCACCGTGGTGTTTGGTGCTAATTGCCTGCTAGGACAGAGGCTGACCCTATGGCAGATGCACTGGTCGGTGCCCACCACAGACCACAGATATTTCGAGAGCGGCTCTCTCTTAAGTTGAAGCTCCCAGTAAGATGGCTATTGGGGACATTTCTGTCATCTCACATGGAGCAAGTAAGTGAACAGTAGTAAGCAGAACCACAAACCAGAAAGCTGCAGGAACAACAGAAATTGGCTGAGCAATAAACTTGGTATTTACCTGCCTTTTCCTTAAAATTAGGTTTTTATTTAAGTGCGTCCAGTGTGAGTGAAAGCCACTTTTTCCTAATTCAGAGTTGGAACAAAACTGAAACATGGAGTGGGTTTCCCAAAATAATGTGTCATTTGATCTGAGCCTCCAATAGTAAGTCTAGCTCTCCCCTAGACCGCGCAAAACAATAGGGATAAGGTTGCTTCACCTCTTCAGGTCATTCTCCTTGACCTGAAGGTTGGGGTGATTTGTTGTGTAGTGGGCAGAGACAGGAGGAGAAGTAAATAAAAAATAAAATAGGACCAGAACACTGCAATTGTAGTCACCCGCCTCCCCTGGGCTGCCAACCTCCCAGCCTTCTAGCAAGCTCTGCTCTGGTTTGAATTTCTTCTTTGTGATTACTGGGGATTGAACCCAGGGTTGTGGAGTAGTAGGCAAGTACCCTACTACTCAGCTACATCTCTAGTCCCCATTTCTTCATCTTTCATGAATGACRGCCACTTTGGTTAAGGTGGGTGCCTGAGCAATATATGATGAAAACGAGAGGTTTTGGTTATCTATGGCCTTCTGTTCTTTCTGGCCCAGGTGGGTCATATAATCACAACTGCTGTTGCCAAATATTGTGTGGGACATATTTATATTAAAAAAGTATTCATTGTTTACCTGGAATTCAAATTGAACAGGGCATCCTATATTTTCTCCAGCATACCTTCCCCAGAGTTTGGTTTTATAAATTGAGACTTCCTATCTTAGCATAGAAAATGAATTAGCCTCCTGCAGGGTTCTCAATGTGTGGTTCCTGAGCACCAGCATCAGTATCTCTTGGGACCTCGTTAGAAATATAAATTCTCAGGCCCCACCCTAGACCCACTGAATCAGGAACCTTTGCGGTGTCACCAAGCACACTGCTTTGACAAGCCCCTGATATTTCTGATTCATTTAAAGTTTACAAACTGCTGGCTGGCCTAGTGAAGAGGAGGTCAGACCCTGGAGCCAAACCACCAAGTTCACTTGTTGACCTTGAGACTTCCTAAATCTGCATGTGGCTTTCGGCAAGGCCCTTAACCCTTCTGTGCCTTGTGCTACTTAGGGATGTCGTGGGATTAAACTAGTGGAACCTACTGAGAACTAAGCGAGGGCTGCAGATGATGTAGCTACGATTCTTTGCTCCGCCTAAGTTCTCTGCGTTGATCTGCGGTCTCTTCAGTGTGTGTTGATGCACGTGTGCATTTGAGAACAATTCTTCCTTTCCACTCAGAAGGAGGTGCCAGAGTCCTTGCACCATCCATCAGTATTTGAGTACTGTGTGCTTTCCATTCGCTGAGCGTGAGCGTCACAGCTCTTTCTGGCTTGAGAGAGGGAAGCTGGGTCAGGGAGGGCAGCTGGCATGATTGGTTAGCTGAAAGAGCAGAACCAAAGCAAGCTTAAACACACTGACCACCGCTGTCATCCCCTTGAGAGTAGAGAGCGAGAATGCACAGCCAGCATTCACTAATAGGGACGGCCTGACAGCTCCTGGTAATGAGATGCAGGGTTTAGGCTAATGAGCTAAATGAAAACAATAAATCCTTTTTAGGGGCCCCAACAATGAAATTATTGTTATTCCCCAAAATGGCTTTCCGTAAGGAAGATGGGTCTGGTGGTGTTAACTGCATTGTTATGGTGTTCTTGTGAGGGGTTTGGGGAGGGGAGGATAGGGAGTGATGGGAAAAGCCAGGCTAAATTATGGCAGCAGTGCATAAATGATTTTTTTTTCTTCTTTTTGTTGTTTTTCACTTTGGTTTCACATAAGCCTTTAGCTGTGTGACAGTAAAAGGAATAGTCACCTGGATCCCAGCTCTCGGTTCTGGCCTAGTGACTGTAACGCATGTGTCTTTGAGTGCAGGCGGGCTACCAAATTACCCAGCAGAGGCTCCCGATCGCTGTGAGTGGCAGCCTGGCCTACAGCGTCTGTGTAGGGAAGAAGCGGAGTCAGTTGGTCTCCAAGAGGGTGCGGATCAAGCAGATCCAGCTGGAGCAGGACAGCGGCAAGAGCCTTCACGATGACCTGAGGGCCCAGACGCTCATTGATCTGAACAGGGCAGGTAGGCGCAGTGCTTCAGTCTTTCCTTCCAGCCTCTTGGCTCCTCAGGTGTTAGACACCTTTCTTCCCTTCTGGAGTTTTCCAAAACCAATTGAGAAAGCAGGCAGAGGGGCCTGGCTGATGGAGAGCAACGTGTTCGTGTTGGTGTTACGGCCCCCAAGCTGTGAGCACTTCTGGGCCACCCCGAAAGTCAGACAGACTTCCCCACCCAGTCACGGACCCTGCAGCTGGATGTATGTTAAAAGAAATAAACCAAAGTTAGAAGTCAGTATATGTGGGGGAAGGAGAAACAATTTCAAGGCCAGAACCACCTCGAGAGCCCTTTGGTAATGTAGGCTTTCCCCGAGACTTCTGCCTKGTTTGTCTGCTGATGGACTGGCCAACCACAGGCAGGCTGACTCTGCCTCTCTCTGGTAGGAGTCGGCCTTCTGGAAGTGGTCCTGGAGCCCGACCTGTCCTGTGGAGAAGAGGCCGCAGCAGTCGTCAGGGAGCTGCAGCTGATACTTCAAGCCCTGGGGACCAGCCAGGCAAACATGGCAGGTAGGAGCTACAGGGGCACTGTCCCTCTGTCTGTGCCATCTTGCTTTCTGCTTCCTGGGCCTCTTCTGAGTTTTGTTCTTTGCCATCAGTTATAATATAGTTTACATCCCATTTTCAGCCTTTGCCCACCGGCTCCCTACCCCCTCGGATTCTTTTCTGAGCCTCGAATAAAAATAAACACATACATAACAGCAGCGCAGTAATGCAAGCCAGTGAACATGAGCACAGGAGAAGGTGTCTTCTCCCAGCTTCTCACATCAAAACCATGAGGACTCATGAAATAATGTGTTTAAACCGTTTCATCTTTCCCAGAATAATTCCTGAGTTCTGTATAGATAGATAGTCGCTACTTTTGGACAGGGGGATCTGTTTCTTTTCCTTTTTTTGTAGAAGTTTCACCCCTGAAACATTAACTACCCTGATTTGATTATTACACTGTATACATGTGTCAAATTAACACACTACTCCATAAATTTGTACAATTAAAATAATTATTAAAAAAACAATTTCCATCCATGTGCAACCAAAGCCAAATAATATTGGCTGTAAGCCCAGATTATGACTACATAAAGCTTTACCCTGACTTAAGTTCAGTAGAAATAAAGTAGGAAACTCAAGCAACAAAATAAACACCTGTACCCTTGGGAAGGAAAGAAACTGTCCCTTTTAAATGTTTGAAAATTGGATATAAATCACAAGTTTGGGGCAAGCTCAGTGTCTTGGTGGCTCAACTCCCTTAGCCCTTGCTCCTTTGTCCTCCTTTAAATTACTGAAAGCTAATCTCTCCCATGGTTTCTTCCCAATTTTCTGTTCCCAGCCTCCAAGCACTCCCTGACCGAATACAGGATCTGAATGCACAGTCGTGGTCTTCTATGGCACACACCACCAGTGATAACGTTCCTCTCTCTGCTGGTCCATAGTACTGTTAACACCCTTATCATGTTTCATGATGTGTTTGCATGTTACAGAAGGCCTTCGGAATTTGTAATGCCACATTTGTCACATACAAGCAGTAGAGGGTACCATCAAAGCTTTGGTACAAGTCAGGTCTGGAGACAGCACTTGCTTATTTGCTATCATCTTAAGCCAAAGACTAGAAACACAGAGCCCCATAAATTTGAATTACATAAAGGTTAGCTGTCTACACATTTCCTTTATAGAAATGAGACTGAGGGTTAAAAGAAGTCTCCATTTTCCATTTATCACTCATGCTACATTTTTATCCACAAAACATATATGAAATATGGGCAGATTGGATGGTTATCCATTAATGCGCTAAGCATTGATTCTCTATTGCTTTAAGAAAGTTTTTATTTTTCCATTCTTCTTCAAAACCACTGTGATTCTTGTGAACCCTGTGGAATAATAAACAGGCCACCTGTTAGCTGAGAAATAGTCCCATCTGGGTCCTTGCCAAGAGATAAACCATAACGGCAAGAACTCGTGAGTCAGTGACAGCTGAGCATGTTCATTAAATCTCATTTGTTGTGACACTTTTTGTTTCTTTTAAACACAAATCCAGCAGCTTTGCTTCCGGCACAGCAGCCGAGTGGCCTTGGTTGTTCTGAAGGCTGTGGGGAGTCGGGGACTGCCTGCAGTCTGCTGGAGTCCGGCTTCCTGGTAGATTGTGTCAGCCCTGACTCCTCGGCTCATCCTTCTGTCCCACTACCCTAGGATCCCTGTGTCAGCTCTGGAGACTGCATCCTGGGTACCTAGGGCCACCCTAAAGAAGAGGTGGCAGTGAAGATCAGCAGACACGGTGCTTTTGGAATGAGGCCTCCGCTGTTCTGGGTTGTGATTGAGTTCCTGATAGTTTTATTAAAGAACATGGACCAGTTCAAGCCATTTCCAAGTCATTTCCTTCTCAGACAGCACGTGTGTAGTAGTAGACCTACTAAGTGTTTCAACAATAGTAGTATCTACCAGTTGGAATATTTAAAATATGCTCACCAGTTCACTAAGAATTTTTAAAAATTGTCATACCATCTCTTTTAAACTTTACAACATTCCTGAGACATTCCTTACCTGTGGTACAGGTCAGCTACAGGGTTAGGTGGGGTTATTTGCCCAGGGTTCACAAGAAGCACCTGAGCTGGGATTTGAGCCCAGGTGACGACTCCAGAAGACCTTTATTTAAGCACCACGGCAGTGTCGAGACTGCCACAGATACCCACTGGGGGAGCAGCCAGAGGAGCAGACCACGAGTGCTAAGGGCTCTAAGGTCCCAGACCTGGGCTGCAGTCCTGTCCCACAACTTCTCCTGGTAGAAACCTGAGCAAATTTTCTGATTTCTCTGTGCCTCACTTTCCACATTTATAAAAGGTATCCCCAAGGAACGGTGTGTGGAAAGTGAATGGAAGAAACCAGAAAGGACAGGAAGCTGACAGAGGCATTGAGTGGAGTTGGAGCAGCTGCATGAGAGAAGTGACTTTACGGGGGAGATCTGGAGTTCCATTTTGGAAATGCTAAGTCTGAAATACCCCGGGGCTGTCTTAGTGGGTTTGTCGTGGAAGCCAGGTTATGGAGAGCGAATGTAGTAGTGTATATGAAGTAGCACAGGGCCTGGGGAACAGACGGTGCTGGGTAACTGCCCATGCTCTATTAACAAAAATAAATAGGCTTCCTGTTAGGGAATCACCACATTTTTTGGTTGAGGTATGCTTTGTGAGCTATGTTCAGTAGAATTTGGTCCCTTTCACGTGGGGATGTACCTCAGTGGTAGAGCATTTGTCTACCATGGGCGAGGCCCTGGGTTCTATCCCTAGCACTGGGGGGAAATTACAGCATTTTATATGTGTGTGTGCGTACTTTTTTTCTTAAATCTTGTTATTAAAGTATTGGGGAGTATTCAGCAACCAGAATGAGATAGCTTGACAGACCTTCCTACCAAAGCCTGGAGTCCCTGCTGTTTGCAGAAACAGTTTTCTGTCGTGATGTTGTATTTCTGTTGTGTGAATGTGTTTTAGAAAAAAATATGTAACTGCACTCTATCACTGTGCTCAGTGGTATAGTATTTTAGTTTTGCTGTTACAAATCTCTCTGCCTTTGGAAGACAGAAATTGAGCTTGGTAACATTCTCCTGATGAGTGAATGAAGGCCCTCCCTCTGTGGGACAGAATGCATTGAAGTAAACCTGCCTGGTAAGGCTCTCATGCACTTGAGGCAATTTAACTTAATTTGTTTAAAAGGTATTTTGTCTTCTCTGGATAGAGTGTCTTTTGTTAATGTTTGATACTATATTTGAATCTAGGCTCGCGAACTCTCTTTCAACACCACAGGATACTAAATGATTCCTCTCAGACATTTATGTAGTATGGTCTTCTCTGGAAGAAACTAGAATTCATGCTTTTATTCCTCTTCCAAATTAGAATTCTAAATTKTGAAAGATGGTTTCCTTTTTAAAAGCAAGTGAGTAATTCAGGGTTCCCTAAGTTCAAAAAAAAAAAAAGTTGTCTCCCAGGTATTGAGATTTGGTTGAGCGGAGCTGGGTATAGATGGAAGTTTGCCTTTGAGCTGAATGGGCCTTTCAGAAGAGTCCAACTGTTGATGAGTCCTGCTCAGACAGAATCTTAGAACCTGTCAGGAGCCTACGGTGAGATGGAGGCCAGCCTGCTTACTCATTGCTCAGGAAGGTAACAGCGTGTTGGCTGGCATTCATTGTTCAACACTGAACAAGCACCATGTGCCAGCCCCATCTCTGGGTTCTGAGAAAGACCTTGTTCCTGCCACAGAGAGCTTATATTCATGGGGACACCAGGACATTAACAGATAAAACATAGTAATTACAGTGATAAGTGCTTCAAGGAAATAAATGAGGTGGTGTGGTTCAGAATAACATTGGAAAGTGACAGTGTTGCCTTTTAGGTTCCCTCAGAGAAGGTGGCATTGAGTTAAGGCCTGAAGAACGACTCGAGGCACAGCCACATAGAGCTGGGAGATGAGCATTTTGGGGAAACAGCTGTGGTCAAGGGCCCGAGGTGTAAAAGAGCTCAGAATACGCCTGGGGTGCCCAAGGTGACAGAGGGCACTACAGGAAAAGCAGAAGGAGCAATGGCATTAGAGATGGCTATAAAGTTGGCAAGGGACCGATTACAGGTAATGGCAAGAAGTTTCAATTTCTGTCCAAGTGCAAGGGAAATCACTGAAAGGTTTCCAAGCAAGGAAGTGACATCGAAGTGCGATTAATGTTTTAGAAAACCACTCTGGCTGCTCTGTGGGAAGTGGATTCCAGAAGGAGAGAGTGACACCCAGACCAGTTCACAGGTGCTGGTGGTAGTTCAGATGGAAGATGAGGCGGTTTGACGGTGCTGGTGGCAGTGGTGGGAGAGAGGGGTGGGTTCAAGGTGGTTTCTGGAGTGACTTTTCCGTTACAGGCCCGTGTGGAAGATCTGCTAACCGAAGAAAGCAAGGGTACCTCGAGGGAGTTTAAGGATGTAGGTGGTGGTATTGCCTGAAGTCAAAAGCTGAGAACAAAAGTGTCCTTGTGCAGGGACAAATAGGGGTTGGCAATTGAGATGCCCGTGAGACTAGTGTAGCAGTCTGAGGAAAGGACTGGGCTGAAGAGAGAAATTTAGGTGACATTTGACTCCATGTACCCCTGCGGAGAAGTGTAGTTAAGACGAGTTTAGAAAAGAAGGCACCAGAAAATGAAATCGAAATCGAATGTCCAGGGAGGCAGGAGGAAAACCAAGAGGGTCAGGCCATAGGAGCTGAGGTCGGAAGATATTTCTGCTGAGTGTCCAGAAAGGTGAAGACAAAACCTGCCCTGCGTTCCCTGGATTTGCAGCCAGAGAGGTGTTGGTGCCTCCGACAAGGACATTTTCACAGAGGTGGGGACAAAAGTGGGTTGGGAGTAGGTGGGAGGTGGGATAATGGAGACGACACTCGTGACAAAACTTGTTGAAGAGGATTTGCTGAAAAGGAAACAGAAACAGGCTGGATGGCTGGTGGGGTGAGACGGGGGCTCGGGAGAACCTGGTTTGGGCTTTTGTTTGTTTTCTTAGTGAGAAAAGCTGTTACCCACGTAAGCGCTGAGGAAGAGGTCGGTGACTGACTGGGAGAGGGATAAGTGAGAGAGCCATCTCCTTGAGAGGGCACCAAGGGCCTTAAAATTTGGCCTGGTCCTAAGGGAGCTTCCATTTTGGTCTTAAAGAGAAGGTTACTTCGAAATGGGCTCAGCTTCATGGTATAGATTGTGTGTATTCTGAGGTTGGAGKCCCTGCCAGTAGAGGCTCACTTACCCATGAGGTTGGAGGATATTTCGAGAAGGAAGGCTGACTTGTTCTCTCACATGCTGCTGAGGTGTCCAGTAAGGTGGAGTAGAGGGGGTAACACTACAGTGGCAACAGTTCAGAAGGACGAACCGAGGCGGGAGAGGGGGACAGGAGCAGGGGTACTGAGTGTGTGCCGCTGACGTAGGCAGGAGGTAGTGCACAAAGGCTCCCCTGGCTGCAGGGAGCTTCCCTATGGAACGAAAGGTGGGCAGATGTGGGTTGTGTCCACCTGCAGATCAAGTGAGGGCTCCTGAGTACCGAGAGGAGACGAGATGATCCAATGGGAACTGCCATTGTGCTTGAATTAATGACCAAGTGATGAAAAGGCCACAATGTCACAGGATGAAGTTGTGGTCACATGTGGGTGACTGGACAGGGGGCACTGCTATGTGAAAGAGTCAGGATGTGATCCCAAAACCTCCGCTGAGGTTCCAAGACCTCGGGCAAGGCGGCAGCAGTGGGAATGGAGAGGAAGTGACAAATCCAGGGACTGTTTGGAGGCAGGACCTGATAGGATCTGATTGGCAGTTTGGATGGAAGGGGCAAAGAAGATGGAAGAGGAAGGGGACTTCAAGGTACGACCCTAGCAGGATTTGAGACTCAGAAGAGCACAACTTGTTCAAAAGGGGATTTAAAATAAGGAAGGGGCTGTGGGATTTTTATAAAAACATTGAGAGGTCAGTGCTGGAGATATGATTAGAGTAGTTCCTGAGCAGAAAGGAACTTGGAGCCAGAAAGTGGGTGAGCTCTTCCTGTTCTGTGAGGGTGGGAGAGAAGGGGCAGCAGCGGGCAGCTGGGGCTGTCACCCTTGGTGCAGGATTAAGCCATTCCAAAGGTCACCTTTTCTTGGCATGGAATTTATTTTCAGTTTTTTATTATTTTACTACACTTTTCATGTGGAACCTTGGGAAGTGAATTTATTCAGGCCATTGAAGCACTCAAATTTGCAGATTACATTTTAAGTTAAAAACCTGTCTAGGAACTGGGCATCATGGCACACACCTGCAATCTCAGCTTTTTGGGAGGTGGAGGCAGGAGGATCGTGAGTTCAAGGCCCACCTGGGCAACACAGAAAATCCCATCTTAAAAATCCACCTAGGAAACGAAAATCCAGCATTTTGTCTTCTTCCTGTTCTGAGTGTTGTAAGTGAAATTGGAGAACAGAGCATTTGAGCTTTACTTCGTAAGGTACCCGACGTAATTATTTCATATCTTCATCCGTTTGTCTTAGACTTTTGTCCCCTTTTCCTCCTCAGAAGCCTTTAGTCTTCTCCACAACCACCTGCTTCTTTAGGGGAGGGCCTTTAAGGGGCAGAGTAGGTCCTCCCAGGGTGGGGTCAGCCCCTTGGTCCCACCACGGACACCCCCCCATGATTTCATCTGCAGCAAATCCTTAAAGCAGTCGGGAAGGCTTTGGAGCCATGTTTGTGGGAAGAAGAGATTATTACAGTACCTGGAGGGAGGAGGAGGGAGAAAGCCCAGGTTTCAGCTCTTGCCCTTGAGCTGTAAATTCTCAAGGACTGTCTTATAAATCTCCTGGAATCGCTGTGAGAAATCCACACTGCGTTGGAGTGCAGTGTAGTGTTTTCAGATAATGATTTTAGAGGCTTTTTTCCCAACCCCAGTTCTGACACTTGGAAAAAAAAAAAAAAACTTCAGAATAAAACTGCAGAGTAAATCTCCATTTTAATAGTGTTCCTATTTAGTACAGAAAATGTTAGAGACTCCCAGCTGGTGTATTCAGAACTTCTCTTCTGAGTGTGCATTAGTACACATCTCTATACACATGCACTTGAACCCCTGAGGGGGCCACCCCTCAGATGCCTCAGTACTGATTCTGCCTGCTGTTAAGTGAACAGAAGAACCATCATTTTCTTCAGGACCAGCTGTGTCCTCTGCAACATGAGGTTGCTGTGACTAGGCAGCACGTGGATATAGACGTAGTTTACCTCAATATCCGCCAGCCTTCAGAAGACAGCGCTGCCTCACAGAATTTCTCCAGAGTTGTCTTTTGTCTCTCCTTCCAGAGGGCCAGTTGAGAGTGGATGCCAATGTATCTGTGCATCACCCTGGGGAACCCCTGGGCATCCGAACCGAAGTGAAGAATCTCAACAGCATCAGGTTCTTGGCCAAAGCCATAGGTGAATATCAGCTGTTGTTCCTGTTGTTTTGCTTTGTGTTGGTCCTCTCTCGCTACACAACAAACCTCTTCAAACTTAGGGACTCACTCAGTAACCCCTTTGATTTTCAGTTCTGTGCACTGGTTGGTTCTTCCACTTCTCCTCTGCTTGCTCCCGTAGCTGTGCAAAACCAATAGGTCAGCTGAAACAGGGGATCTGAGATGGCCTCACTCACACGTAGGGGCCTGGTGCTGGGTGTCCACCAGGCTTCTCTAGCCATATAGCTTTCCCTCCTTCACTTGTCTGGCCCAGGCTTTCTCATTTACCATTGGAACATTCCAGAAAAATGGAGGCAGAAGCCTCAAAGCAATATGAGTCCTAAGCTCTAGAACTCTCACAGTATCACTTCCAATATATTCAGAGCAGATTGAATTCAAAGCAGACTCAAGTGGAGGGAAATAGACTCACCTCCCAAGGAGAGGATTCACAGGCTCTTGTTACCATGTTTTACCGTGTACCATACTCTTCATAAAGTCAAGTTCATTTTAGATTGGCCATGGCTTGAACTTTATGAAGTCATATGTGGTCATTTTAGATTGGCTGTGGCATGACATAATGGCTCAGTATATTTTTCTGCTCTTTACTATTTTCAACTAATAGATTCTCTGTGCCTGTACAATCAAGATTGGTCTTACTAGAGCACACTGTGGGCATTTCATTGAGGAAAAATGTCTAATAATTATTTAAATAGCTTATCAGGATAGACATCTATGCACTCCCATAGAAACTGATGACTGAGTCTCAGGGGAAGACATCTTGGAGACAAAAAATATTTTTTTTAAGCCCAACACAACAAGAAGGAGGGAAAGGAATTCAAAGTGCATCCCTTAAATGTGCACAAGGAACAAGACGACAAAACACATTGCCAGAATGTTGCTGCCCCAAAATGTTTAGTAGAATCCTGAGTCGTGTCAAGCAAAATATCAGAAACAATACAGAAAAGGTGATTCCAGTTTTGTATAAAACCTTCCATCCCAAACTCAGATGGTCACCCAGAGTCCATAAAGACACTCACGCATCCACAGAAGTTCAGGGAAAAGACATTAAAAATGGCCAAGGGAATAGTTTTTGGGAGGGGGAAGAGAAAGGGAAGGTCCCCATGTAAAGACAGGCTAAAGAAGATGAACTCTTCTGTCTCTAAAAGGGGACATGACCATGTTTCTGAAGCCGCCAAAGGTGCAAGTCAGGGAAACTCATGTCTGTAACCCATGTATTTGAACGGGAAGCTTGGAACCAACAAAAGAGAGTTCCATTTCACCTTGGGCCAGGAACTGTTCTAGATCCTGTGGTTCCAAGAAGTGTCAATGATAACCTAAAAAAAACAAGCCACCATGTTTTAAGTAGATTCATCCCTAATCAGTTACAAAAGAGCCTTCTTCTTTTGTCATATGAAGTGTCCTTTGGAGCAGCAGTTAGAAAGAGTTTTACCAGCCCAGTGGAAGAACCAAAGCTTTGCTGTCTTGAGCTTCATTCTCCAATCCTGTAATTTTTCCATGATGATTTTTCTGCCTGCATTGGGCTTTTTAGCCATAATTTCATGTCATTCAAAGAGAGCATTCCAGTGGGGGAGAGGTGGAATAAAAATGGGCATCTTCTGGTATTGCTGCTATTATGTAGCAGTTCAATTCAAAGGGTGTGAATTTAAACAAGGAAAGGGGTGCGGTGGGGGGAATTAAGGGAAGATTTATTTCCATAATGGAGCTTGGCAGTTGTTCTGTTTAGGCTGCCATAACCTGCCTTTCTTATTGATGGTCACATAATAACCCCTTTGTTCTCACAGTTCTGTGGACTGGGTGCTTCCCTTTGAAAACAGAATGAGTTCTGAACCCTCTCACCAAAAAATGCACAAGCCCCCATTTTATGTATAATTTTAGGGGATCCCAGTGCTCTTTGTAGCCCATCTGTGGATCCCAGGGTCAGAGTCCCTGTTAGGCAGTGATCCTGGGTCTGCAGTCACTAAACACACCTGCTTCTGTCTGCTTGTGTAATCTGTGTAGGGTTGCTTGATCTCTGTGAACCTGAATTGTGTCAAAAAAAAAAAAAAAAACAAGGGTGCAGGGCTCCCCAAGGCCCATTCCAGCATCAGCATCCCACATAGCAGTGAGAAGCACATGGGAGGATTATGATAAACAGTCTTCTTCTTGATTATCATTCAACTTCAAGTTTAAGAAAGGTTTCTGGGGCTGGAGTTGTGGCTCAGCAGTAGAGCACTCGCCTAGCACCACATAAAAATAAAAATAAAAAAGGTATTGTGTCCAACTACAACTAAAAAATAAACAAAATATTTTTTAAAAGGCTTCAAGTTATCAGTGGATAAAAAATATAATCAAAAGATGATACTAAATTCTTTTTATATTTTTTATAGACTATGAAATTCAGAGGCAAATCAATGAACTTGAGACTGGAGGTAAAATTCTGAATGAAACTCGTTCATTTGACTGCAAGCTGGGGTGAGTTCACATTGATGTCATCTTGACCCCAGTGAGGTGGGCCCCGGGATCTGGGCTAGGTCACAGACCAAACATCTGTTCCTGAGGAAGGCCATTAGGTTTCTGCTGTTTGCTTTATTCATCAGTAAAATTAGAACAATGCACCCTACAGGGATTAATATATGCCCTACCGGACCCTTGAGAATTTTAAACAGAATGCTTGGTCTTAGGTCCTAGACCTGTTCTTATTCTAGCTTACCTGCTCTGTGGCCAGAATTTTTGCTTCCTTAAATAGTAAACCAGACTTCTTCCAGCTTAAACTAGAGACAGAAGAAAGCTAAAACCTGATTATAGGCATGCCTTTTTGTTTATTTAGGTAACTTTGACCCTGATTTTCCTATTTAGAATTTTGAAGATTGAAGCAAAATACTGAAAAAAGCTCAAAAGCCTAGAGTTTGAGCCGGCTTAAAGCTGGAAACATTGTCTGGGGATATAGCTCAGTGGTAGAGAACTTGCCCAGCATGYATGAGGCCCTTTGTTCCATCCCCAGCATCTTAAAAAAAATTCTGGAAATGTTGAAGTCATTTCTTCTTATTTTAAATCATATTTCCAGACATTTCTATGTGAATTCATATAGGTGTCTCCTATGGAAAGCTAAAGAACCTGAATTTGCCTGTGTCCCTTATTGGTAGAGGAAACCCTGTGGTAGTCACTTTTCCATTACTGTAACAAATACCTGAGATAATCAATTTATGAAGAGAAAAGGTTTATTTTGGCTCACAGTTATAGAGTGTCGATCCATGATTGGTTGACCCTAGTGATACATCATGGTGGGAGTGTATGGTCAAGCAAATCACTGACCTCATGACTGGGAAGAAAAAATGAAAGAGATCGGAGACTATAGTCCACTTCAGGGACATGCCTCCAGGGATCTAAAGACCTCCCACTAGGCCTACCTATTAAAGTTTCYACCACCTCCCAGTAGCACCAAACTGGGGAACCACACCATTTTTTTAACACATAGGCCTGCCTTTGGGTTCACACAAGACTCAGACCATAGCAAACCCCTCCTGTGCGTGTAGGCTAACCGGTGTGCATGCAGTGTTTGTTCAACATTGTCTTCCTTAACTGTTGTAGGTGCACTGTGCCAATGAGAGACAAAGAAGGAAAACAAGACTACAGGTGATTATCCTTGTATCAAAATACTTACACATTTGGGCTTAGGAGCATATTTCAAATCCATTTGAAGATGAACACAGTGATCCTGGAGAGTTTTTAGGAATACTTACCACATGATGGAAAATGAAGCAAGACTCCCTAATTTTATGTGGATCCTGGGAGAAGAAATTACATTTTCTTGATTTGATAGCCTCAGAGTGCCTGGTCTGATCAAGTGTGGAAGACCTTGTTCACTCCTGTGTCAGAGCTGTACAGTTGAGCTGAGAGGATAGAAGTCAATGTAGGGGCCTCGGCTATTTTTACTCTTATTACATTCAGTAGCAAATTCTGAAGTTGCTTGAGAAAAAAATGAAAAGAGGTGTGTATGTTAATGGCATTTCCCTTCTAATCTCAGGTGATGTTATTTCATTGACAAACAAGTTTGGTTCAGTAGAAAATTTGCAAATAAATCACAAGGATAGGCTTAAAATAAATTGAACTTTTGCTTCTTCCCATTGAGTTTAGCAGATTGCCAAGGTGGAGGCTTGAAGCAGCAGTGTTGTTGAGATGAGCCCACTTCTCCTTTGTGAGTTGCAGGATATATAAGTGCAGATGTTGCTGTCAGTGAGGATCAGATGTAGCCTTTGCCCCAAGGACTCCCATCTGTGTCTGTCAAAGCCAAGGTTGTTTAATTATTGTGATCTTCTAGGTGCAGCCTGTTTTTCCCAGGAACCCTCTTTGTTCCTCAGTGTTGTTCCCTGCTGTATTTATGCTGTTTTCTTGCTGAGCATGGAGTTTGCCTTTTAATTGGGACAGTGGCTTCTGCTCAGTCCCTCAAGTTAGCTGACAGTGAAGCCTCCTTTTGGTTTCCTCTTGCCTTCAGAAATCACACTGATTCATGTTAGAGCTTTAACATTGAATTTTGATGAGTTGCTTGCACTTCTAATCTATTACCTTCAAGCCACCATTTATTCTGCATTCTCCTGCTTTTATATAAACCCTTTGACAATTATGAGCAGAGAGAGAACATCAGTGCTGGAACAGAGCAGGGAGGGACAGCTTTGTTTCATATGCATATATATAGTGGTAGGCTTCCACGTTTTTAAAAAATTAACTTTATATTTTTAGAGCAATTACAGGTTTACGGCAGAATTGAGTAGAAAGTGCAGCGTTCTCCCACTTACTCACAGTGCCCTGCCCGACACAGTCTCTTCTTACTAACATCTTGCATTTGTATGGTCTCTTTGTTATAGCAAGGAACCAATATTGATACCTTATTATTAACTAAAGTCCATAGTTTACATTAAGGTTTCCTCTCAGTGTGGTGGACTCTGTGGGTTTTGACATATGTGTAATACATGTATTCGCCATTACAGAGTCATATGGAATATTTCACTGCCCTAGAAGTACCTTGTGCTCCCCCTGTTCATCCCACCCTTACCTCTTGCTTCCACATTTTATTTAGGCAAAACTCATTCATTTCTTCTCCCACTCAAGAAGGAACAGTCCCCTCCCCCACCTTTGACTTTTCATTATTACACAAATACTGCTAAAAACAGTGGGAATTTAAAAATAGGGGAAAGTCATCTTTCTCCCTAATAAATTGTTCTCAGTTGGTCCCGTTGTTTCCAGCCTATGTCTTAATGAATGTGTACATGATCCACAGTCATAAATCAGAATGTGGCTGAGCATTCTGCTTATTTTACTCACCATTGCTTCCTGAGCATGGAGAACCACAGGCTTGGTGATTTGGGCACTTGGTGAGCACTGTGCAAAGATTTTCCAGGGAAACTGGGAATTGATATTATAGGACATTAGAAATCGTTTGCAAGTAACATATCATCTGGCACAGAAGTATTCCTATCAGTGGTAGATCTGTGGTTCTAATCAATCCCGATACTCCAGATTCCAGTTCCGTCTCCTCTCTCCTCCCAGGTTTATGCCAGAGCCCAACCTGCCTCCCCTGGTACTCTACGATAGCACGACTCTGCCTGCAGGTGCAGACTCTCAGCAAGTGATCAACATTGACCAGATTCGGGACATGCTCCCCGAGCTCCCCAGTGTGACCCGAGAGCAGCTCGTCCAGCAGTATGGGCTGCTGCCTGAGCACAGCTTCACGTTACTGGTAGGTGTTGATGAGAGGCGGAATCGAGCCGGCTGGGCAGGCAGGCGGTGGCGTTCTGAGAGGCCCCTGCACGTGCACTTGGCGGCAAGTGGGCAGGCGTCTTCACTCCTACGATAGACGCCCCTGAGAAGAGTGAGGCACAGTGTCCTTGCTCACTGTCCTTTATGGGACTACTCCTCTGCACCAGAAGAGAAAACAAATCCCACTTAAGTCATATCTCCCATGTAGAACTGAGCAGCCGCTCCCAGCAGCCGTGGAGACTTTTTGAAGCCAGTCCCAATGTTATGGATGAGTGTTTTCCCATGTGTCTGCAGGACAAAGGAAAATCAATGTATAGGGTTTCTAGATGTCTAACAGTATCGAACCGTGACAGGGTCTGGCAGGACGTTAGGCTCTCAAAAGTCAGTCGGTTGTTTTACCAATTGTAGAAGAAAACATTTATTCCCCACAAAATGCTGGGAACTGTGACTAAAAGTATCAGTCCTTTGAGGCTTGAGGATGCATCTAACGGGGCCAGTAGAGAATCTGACACCATTGAGATCTGCTTAGGGATTTTCCATCCTTYTCAAAGCTACTTGGGGCTTTGTGGTTTTCTTTGTTATGGCAACGTTAAAGTGATACAGCATCAGTGAGCAGAGCACTTTGTCACCGTTGTCTTGTCTGTTAGGGAGAAGTGGAAAGTTTTGCGACTGTGGCTCTCAGGGAGTAAGGTATATGCCCCCGTCATCTTTTGGAGCAGCAAAAKCTGTAGAAACTGGACTTTTGCTTTTATATATGACCTATAATAACTATAGGAGGTGGTACGGTATGGCTGTGCATATTCATATCTTTTAAGAACAGCACCTAGAGGTTTATAGTAGGGTCGGCAATCAAACGTCTACTGAGTGATCGTTTCTCTTTACCGTCCGTAAGTTAGCTCCCTTGAGAGACATCCAGGGTGCCTCACGAGAAAGCTCTTTTACTACCAATAAAGATCAGGCCCCATCAGTTTCTTGCCAGTACCTTAGGCGGACTTGATCCCTGCCTCCTCCAGGCTGCCCTGCGCCTTAGTCATCCATCCATGGCGGTTCCGTCGCTGCGCTTCAGTTGTTCRTTAGCGAATCTCCTTGAGCGTCTCAAGGCAAGCACTGTGCCCACCTTCCTGTCGCTGAGCACAGAGGAGCACGTCAGCAGACCTAATGCCAGGTCTTTGGCTGAAGCCGTCCGTCAGCTTCCCATAGAGCTCCTCTTACCTGAGCCTCCTACGGCTCCTGTTCTTCCTGAAGTTAGGTGGCGGTCCCCAGTTTTAGTCTTACACTCCTCCCCTCATCTTCACACTTGAGTTTCCAGCCCACTTGGAGTAAATGCTGAATTCCAGATCTGCATTTTACTGCTCTTTGCCAACCGTGTGGGGGCTGGGAAGGACATCGTTACCTCTCAGAGAGAGGCTTTGACCAGCTGGAGAGGCAGCCCTCGGAGAGTGGTGATGTGCCGAGGTTGCTTGGCCATTTCCTTGCTGAGACTTGAGTTCAGAGAAGAAGCCACCCGATACTGCAGAGGAATCCTTTTGTAGATCAGCCTTCTCCACAAGAGAAGAGAAAGGCCCTTTTGGAACCTCCTCTCAGGAGCACAGCTCTTTCTTTCTGAGGCCCTGGGTGAAAGTGTGTGTCCTCTTGAGGATATCTCTAGGATCCTCACACTTGGCCCCGATGGGTGTGTTCTGGGGACAGCAGCTGCCTCAACTCCCTGAGCTTCAGTTCCGTGAGGGCAGGGGCGTCTCATACTCCCGTTTGTGCCCCCCGTCTTCATTCATGAGTCCTTCAAGGGACCAAAACCTGGTGTCAGCCTTCAGTAAGGTCTTTCCTTAGTGCTGCAAACGAGTAAGTCTGCATTTTAATAGTTTAAGGGCCTGTCAAGAGAAACCTACCTATAATTATTTTGTTCAACACTTTATTAGCTTTGCCTAGGTGCAGGTACTGAGATAGGGACAAAGACTGTTTTTAAGATCCTTTTTGGCCTCCTTAGAGTTTATGTATGCATACATAATACAACAGCTACCAGCCCACAGGGCAGCTTGTGACAGAGCTAGATGGGGGCCCCGCGGAGGTGGCGACGACTCAGCGAGACCCGGAGCACCTCAGAAAGAGGTGGTTTGTTTTAGCTGTTTTTGAAAAGAATTATAATGTTTTGGTACCTCAAACACATGCTTATTTTGTAGCTTGCGGATAATGTATTAGGTGATTAGTCTTTTTTAAAAAAAAGTGAAAGGCCTAGTACCTGAAATTTCCACRATGAATGAGAACAGGAGCAGATAGGAACAGACAGAGAATGATTCAGACAAATTGTTTTCCCCAAATTAAGCAGCCTGAGCCCTTTATGACTTTGTAATCATTGGAAGCTGGGTTACTCATAACATTCCCGAAAATGATCTGTTCATGTTTTTCCCTGCCTCCATCAGAAACACAACAGATTGCTGAGAAGGGCAGATGCACAAATCTAATGAACCATCTTTCAATTTAAAGAGTGCCCAGGAGTATTCATTAAATAAATAGCAGTGGTGGAGGTGTGCTTTGCAGGGCCTCGGCTCCATGCTCCCTGCCTTTGGATTGCTTATTTAATTAAGCAGTGTGCGTATATCCCCCCATCCCCACACGACGTGCCTTCCCCACAAAAAAAATCTTCAGAATTTAACTCATCTTTAATTTATATTGTCATGTCCATGTGCAGCGCGCACTGAATTGCATATCATTATCTTTGATTTTTGCACAAGTCTAATGGTGCACCTTAGTATTTGCCATGATGTCAGAGGCATGGTGGGTGCTCAGCAACTGGGAGGGACAGGAAATGAGCCGGGTATCGCTGCAGTACACAGGAAAATCCTGGGGGAAGGAGTCCTGATGAAGGGATCACTGTTTCCAAAGACCATGCACCTGAACCACCCTGGGACAACCCAGCAAATCATGGGTGACGTGTGTCATCAAACTCTGGGTGAGGAGTTCAGCCATCCCACTACCTGTGACCATACACAAATCACTTGGTCTGACTTTTGTGTTCTGAATTAGTTTCATTGGGACATTAAATCAAATCTACATTCTGGTTTTCTCTCCTACAACCTCATATGGCTCCCTCCCAGAAGAACTATTACTGGTTTTTCTTCTGCTCGCATAAATAAATACCTTGCCCGCCTAAGACTTCAGTCTATTTAACTAATGTCACTTCCCCATCTTATATCAAACTGTCTTGCTCTCTGACCTCATTTGTAAAGATTAAGGAATAGAAATATGGAAGCTGACAGTTCACAATAGCTAAGCTCTGAAACCAGCCTAGATAGCATTCAACAGATGAATGGATAAAGAAAATGTGGTACGTATACACAGTGGAATATTACTCAGCCATAAAGAAGAATGAAATTATGGCCTTTTCCAGTAAGTGGATGGATCTGGAGACTATCATGTTAAGTGAAATAAGCCGGTCCCCAAAAACCAAAGGCTAAATGTTCTCTCTGATGTGCAGATGCTCACACACAAATAAGGAGGGAGGTGTGGGAGAATAGAAGTTCATTGGATTAGACAAAGGGGAATGAAGGGAAGGGAGAAGAGATGGAAACAGGAAAGACAGTAGAATGAATCAGACATCATTTTCCTCTGATCATATATGAATACACAACCAGTGTAACTCCATATCCTGTACAACCACAAGAATGGGAAATTATATTCCATGTATGTAGGATACGTCAAAATACACTCCACTACATGTATATCTAAAAAGAACCAATAAAAAATAATTTAAAAAAGAAAGAAATGTGGAAGCTGAGATTCAGGTATTTGGATTCTGAAGAATGAGATTCTTCTCACATAACCAGTCCTCCTCTGAGTATATCCAAGAGTAGGTATCAGAATGGTCAGGGTTGTAATCACGTGCATTTTTCTTGGCAAAATCATTCCTGGCTGATGTCCATGAAGCAGCTCTTGTAAACTTCTGTCTTCTTTCCCTCAGGGAATGCAAAGGAACCATAACATTTGTCTGAGTCACACATTTGAAAGTCTGCTTGCAGGAGCATGCTCCAGGGTCCCCGGTGTGCCCCTTTCCAGTGTGTCCTTAGGCAGGCATAGGGGAGGAAATGCAGCCTCTTTGGGCAGGTAACTTTCCCCGCCCACAGTCACACCAGGCTGACCAGAGGGATCAGGCTCTTTGTTTCTGAGCCCTCCTGTCTGTTTGCACACTGATGTGCTCCCGGGCCAAGTAGAAATAAAGTTTCGGGGTAATGGCTGTTTTGGATCACTTTTGTTTCATTAGTAAAGAAAATAAGTAATAAAAAAAACGAGGTCAGAGAGCAAGGCAGTTTGATAAAAGTCGGGAAGTGACATTAGTTAATTCTCTTACTGTTAATGCTCTCTACCATGTTCGTTTCCCAAGGCACGGAGACTGTGGGTTCCTTGAAGATTCTGACCACTCCTGTTGGTTTTTAAATGTCAGACTGCCCTATAAATAAACATCAAGTGCTGTCTGCTAAATTTAGTGAAAATCGGTCAACTCCCATGAAAAGCAGAAATGATGTCAATTTTCCAAGTGGAAAAATTAAGTCAGAAGAGAAGCAGTGTAAGCTGTTCTCGGCAGCTTTATGTATTTTGTTTCTTAAACAAAATGGCTCCTTCTGTCTGTTTCATCAAGAAGTGTGTCCACCTGGGACATAAGGTGTGGGGCTTGCAGGATGGTCTTGCCTGATGCCTCGTATCATTCAGCCTGGCACATAGTAGGCACCTGGTAAGGTCCAGGTGTGTGCTGTCACGGAACTGGCTGCGTGTGAAGTCAGTAGCTAGAAAGATGTGGCCTCATCTTGCTCAGCAGGTTTCATGGAGGAAGTATAGACGGAGCAGCCCAGGTTGCTTTCTTAAGGCCTACCCTTCCTTCACCTGTCCCTCTTATCACATAAGCCTTCAGCGTGGCTGTGTCGTTTTGGTRCTTTCTGAGTAGCCCCACAGGGAGAGGGTTAAAATACTGACAAAGGGACAGATATTCTT